TAAAACGATGTTTTTGTGTTGTCTAGAAAGATGTTCCTAGCATCTGGAATTCCAAAGCGTACTGTCTGTCTGGAAGAAGAAACCATGTGACAAAGAAAGATAGGACTAATCAACAGAATTAATAATACCTCATATCTATCAGGCAATTCAGACTTTTCAAAGCACTTTCTCCATCTTTCACCCAATTTTATTCTTCATAGCCGTCCTGTAAGCTAAGTAGGGCATGTATTATCTTTCTCTCACGGATCCTCAAAGAACTTCAGGACAGAGAGAATGAAAAACTGGCCTGAGGTCAGACAGCTAATTAATTGCAGTACAACTAAATCCCAGGTGTCCTGCATTTGTTCTGCAAACTGGACCATGCAAATAGAGGATAGAAGGACAGTTGTGCAGGAAACGTTTCTTAGTGGAGATGGGAGATTCTGTCTCGGGCATCTGTCTAGCACGGACCTGGCTGTCCCGCTGCCCGCAGCACTGAATCATCAGCCCGATGGGCATCTTGCTTCCCCCACCCCCGGACGAGGCACAGAGATCCCAGGGTCTTGTAAGAGTATAGGTGTCAAGGGTGCTGGGCCTCGGGGTACTGTTAGCATCCGACTCCTGCGGCTTCTATTCAATATCTGGTAGTAAAACCAAGAAAGGAGGCAGCAAAGAAGATTTGCAAACCAGCTTCAGCTGGGATTTCTAGAGGAAATGCTTGCTTTCAGCTTTTTCTGCAACCTTTGCGTCGCTGCCCTGCTTCTCCAGTAGCTCCCGTTCAGCAGACCAGCAGCTCCGGGCAAGTGAAATGTGGTAAGAGGCACGGTGAGGCGAGGGGGCTGTGGTCTGCTTACAACCCTGCACAAAAGATACAGAGGAAGCACAGGTCACAGGGGAGCCCATCCGAGCAAGACAGCCATTGTTTGGGGGGTGGGAATTTTGTCTCCTCTTTTGTCTCATATTTGAATTTTCTGCAAGAAGTTGTATTTCTTATATAATTTTTAATGGTTATTTTTGCTAAACTGGGAGCAAAGAGTAGTTCTGGCTGCAGAACAGGGTGGTTGTTGGTAAGGAGAGAAGTGGAACAACGAATTTCTGTTGGGCGAGAGGAGGCACCCCATCTCACCAGGTGCTCATGAGCTGGAGTGCCCAGAACGTCTAACCCCGCTCCGGTTGCTGTTTCTCAGTTCGGTCCTGCAACTGGGCTGAAAAGCCCTCTGTCCTGTTCTTCCAGTCGTGCTCCAGAGGGCCGAGGAGGAGAGGGAGTAGCAAGTCAACAGTAGCAGACCATGCCGGGGGTCCTGTTGGGCCCACGGGATACACCTTGCTGACTCAGGGGCTGCGCCTCATTTTCGGAGTCGCTACCTAAAGCCGAGGCGGGGGGAGGGGTGGGGATGAGCAGCACCCATGAGAAATCAGTACCCTCAGCCGCGCGGGCCCTTCCCCTGCTATGCAGCATGCTTAGCCCCCGAGGCCTGATGGGCTTCACCTTCTGTGCATCTGGTAGCTGACCGCAGGTGCAGGCCAGCGCTCAGACATGTGGTGAAGGGAACTGGCAGGACATTTCATCTTGTTACGTTGGGTGTTTTGCACTGTTTCTGAGAGTCCAGTGAATGAAAACGAAACCACTGCTGCGAAGTAAAATCCTGGAAGAAGAAGTGTGTGGAGGGACAATAAATAAGATGGTAAGCCCTCTAGGGCCTATTTGGGTTCTAAGAATTCTCCAGAAGAATGGGAGAAGGGTCTCCGCCCTTCTGAAGCATTTGAGCTTCGAAGGCCAAGTCGCATTAGCTGACTTTTGAGCCCCGTTCGGGGAGTGTTGGGGGGCCTGCAAGCTTAAGAATGGAATATTCTCCCCGATCCATAAGGGGGTCTCTGGCTGCTCTTTATCACCAGGGAAGATGTCCACTGGCTTGGAACTTACTGCTCTGCAAAGAAAAAAGAGCTGTGGCCAAGTTAACCACTCCTGCATCCCAAGCACACTTTGGGACTTCCTCTTGGTAGTCCGTGGAAGCTCTCCCTTGCCTGAGGGCCAACAGAGCCTATTAGGAAGAAACAAGAGTGGTTGGCTGTGGGGTTTCTTTCCCATGGAAGAAGGTCTATAGCTGACTATTTTCTTTTCCTTTGACCTCTTTAAAAAGCAGCTGGAGTTGCAACAGCTCTGCCCAAACTTTATATGGCCTTTTGCTTCAAGGACTTTGAAACAAGCATTGTTGATTTTTCCTTTTCCTGTCAACCTCTGTCCTCTTTCCCTGGTGTTTTATATTCGCTGTCTGGATGATTTTAAATACAGTAGCTCTCGGTCTAGAAGGCCTTTTGACTTCCCTGTGGCCCGAACTGTAGGTACATACTCTTTGGGAAAAGAAGTAAGCAGGATTCAGCGCAGAAGCAGCATTGCTTTGTTGTCAGCAGAGGGGGAGACTGCACGAGGCCCCACGGTGCTGCAACCTCTGGGTGCAAACAAGGCTTCCACCTGGTGTGGAAACATCCGTGTCCCCGCCTGGCTGATCCCCATGTGAGTTAGGCACTGTCCAGGATTGGAGTATCTGTTTGTTATCCAAAGGGTATAAAGGGAAAGCAAACATTCTTCGTATCCAGGCCCTGTGCAGACACAGCCCATGGACAAAGCCTGCTTGCTTTCCCTGCAGTGGCAGCAGGGCTGCGCTGAGTGTGGTGGAATGTGTGCGGTTGCGATGTTGCTTTCTTGGACCAAAATTGTACAGGTGTCACGGGATACAGTTCACCAGGCGAAAGTTGAATCAGAGCACCCACTGGGAGCCCTCGGCAAACGCCACGTCTAGCAGGCTCGGAGCTATGAAGGAACCTGACAAAGCAGTTGCATCCAGCCACAGGAAAGTCAAATGATCGTGCAGTGTGAATGCCTTTGTGTGTGGGGATTAACTAGCCATAAATGCCAGGATTTAGACTCGTCTTCCTGCATCTGATGCAATCAGAGCAAAAGCCTGAGCTCAGAATAGAGTATCTTCATCTGACTCTCCTGAACGACGCAGACATAACACTGCAGCTTCTGAATGTTAACGAGGGCTTGGTTTCTGCACCTATAAATATTTTGATCAGTTAAACCCGGATCCTCCTGTTTTTCTGGTTACTCCAGTTCACTGCGTCCCATTCGTTCTGTCTCCTAGAGCTATGCTGTCCAGTGTAGCAGCCACACGCCACACGTGGCTATCGAGCCCTAGAAATGTGCCTCGTTCTGAATTGTGCTAAGTGCAAAATACGCCTCCCAATTTTGAAAATGTAGTGCTAAAAAAGTAAACTATCTCAATAAGGTTTATATTAATTACATGTTGAAAATATTGTGGACCTATTGGACTCAACTAAATATACTATTAAAATGAATTTCAGTTGTTTCTTTTCACTCCCTTTAATGTGGCTGCTAGAAATGGCAAAATCACAGCTCGTGTTTGCATTGAACAGCGCGGGGCTAGCACTTGAAGGAAGTTTAGGTTTATAGCGCCATCTGCTGGTCCATCGAAAGCGGATGCTGATGTAAGCAAGAATTAAGTGAATCTGAGCCCAGGAGACAGACACTTTGTCTCTTAGCCAAGCAACATGCAACCTTCCTTTTCAGAAACAGAACCAGAACCAAACCCTGGAGTCCCTGCATCATCAGTAAGAGTCTTGGAGAGGGCAGTGCTGAAGATCCAGGCCTGTGCATTTGACAGAATATAAGGAGGACACAGATCCATCCATCCAGAGACTCTCATCCTCTCCTTGGATAATGCTTATTTGCCTTTGTCAAGAGTCTGGACATTGGAATCTTGCTGCTGACAGTATCTGCATCAGTTATCACTGTTGCATAACAAATCATCCCCAGACTCCGTGGCTTAAATCGTTTAAGATCTCACCGTTTCTGTGGGGCAGAACTCAGGAGTGGCCCATGTGAGCACTTCCGGCTTGGGATACCTCATGAGATCGAAGTCAGTGGCTGGGGCCTCCCATCTCTGAGGTTTGACGGGGCCTGGAGAATCCACGTCCAAGGTGGTTCGTGCACGTGACTGGCTGGGTAACGCTGGTTGTTGGCTTCAGTTCTTCTCCACACGGGCCTGGGCCTTCCATGGGGCTGCCTGGGAGTCCTGTAGGCCTGGCAGCTGCTTTCCTCCAGAGGGAGCAGCCCAAGAAGCCTAAGAGGAAGCTGCAGCTCCTTTTATGACCCAGCCTCAAGCCACACACCGTGACTCCCACCGCATGGTGATGATCCAGAGGCAGAAACGTGCATCCCGCCTCTGGATAGGGAAAAGTCAACATCATGTTGTAAAAGGAAACGTGAGATGGGATGGCCATTGTATTTTTGGAAAATACAATCTGCCAAAGTGCCCAGCTTTGTAGAGCCCTAGCCAGCTCAGGAGCACGTCCCATTTTGCAGATGAGGAGATTGAGGCTCAGAGAAGTAAGGTAACTAGCCTGAGGTCTCATGTCTGGTAGAAGGACTAAAGCCCACCTCCAACTCCTAGTCCACCCCGGTGTAGACTACCCGAGTTCTCTCGCTGCCTCTTCTTATGCCGTGTTACTGAAAATCCCACTGGTTGTTTCGTCTTTCCAGCCTCTTCGAGGTGTGTGGTGCTCTCCTCATTCAAGTATTTCAGATAATTCCTTAGATGATGATCTTTTATTGAGTCAAGGCTCCATGGAAGTAGGTTTCAACTAACTATATAGCCTTTCTTAGAGAATTGCTGTAACAGTGAAAAAGTCCACATTTTCCAGGATCTCCCATGCTGTTTGCTTCAGAAATCTCAGGAGCGATAACCACGTTACAATTTGTGTGTACAATTGTACACAATTGTGTATACAATTCACGTTCTGTTTGACTCTCTAAATGTGACATCTTATTTATATCTGAGACAAGAAAGAATTAATCACTGCTTGCTTACAGTAGTTTCCGTACTATCTGGTCATCTTTAAAAGGAGGTTTTACCTTTTTTTTTTTTTTATATTCTGCCAGCTGGTATTCAAACTAAAATCCAACCACCATAATCATATTCTACTGTTCTTGGTTTCAGGTCAAACTTCCCTTTCCTGTAGATCAAATCACAGATCTTCCAAGGAACGATTTCCAGATGATGATTAAGATGCACAAGCTAACCTCAGAACAGTTAGAGTTCATTCACGACGTCCGACGGCGCAGCAAGAACCGCATCGCGGCCCAGCGCTGCCGCAAGAGGAAACTAGACTGTATTCAGAATTTAGAATGTGAAATCCGCAAATTGGTGAGTTGACCCGTTTGTTTTTATCAGCAACCCGGAGTGAGCAGGACTCATACAGGGCTGCAATGGTGAAGGCTAGAGAAGTGGAGAGAGGGTCACCATTCAGGGAGGTTTGGGTTTATTTTTAAACAAGTTTCTCAACACAAGTAATAGCTTTCTATCTGGAATTGTGTGTGTCTGTGCAGGTGTGTGATCACATTTCAGTATTTTATATCCTTCAGCCTCCCTGCATTTAGAGTGAGTTCTTTGTTCATTCAGCATGTACTAGTAGCTAACATTTATTGCATACATGTGTGAACCAGGTGTTACTCTCAGCTGTTTTTATAAATGATCGCATTTAATCCTCACATCAACCCTGTGACTTAGATTCTATTTTCTCTCCATTTACAGAGGAGGAAACAAGTGGAGAGGTTTGCCAACTCCCCACTGTGTGGCAGAGCTTGATTGCAAACCCAAATCTTGTATTTTCACCACTGCTTTCTCCTGCCTCCCACAGCAGAATGTAGAATCCAGATAGGATACCACGTGATCTCCTGAAGGCCCTCAAAACCCCATGTCCTTGATTTTGCAATTCTGCCTCCAAGGGGCCGGCACCTCTTCCCCGTGCCTTTTGTCTCAGGGAACAAGCCCCCATCTCCCAGGCTCCCCTCACTGGGAGCTCGGTGCCCCCTTCTCCTCTGTAAGCAAGCTGAAGCTAAATCCAGGTGGCCTCTGGCTCCTGAGTTAGCTTTGAAGGCAACCAGTGCAACTTCATTCAGCTTGACCTTTCTGCTGGCCAAATACTGGAAACATCTTAGGTGCCATGTCCATGTCAGGCTGAAGAAGAGAGAGGCCACGTGATATGCTTATGATCTAAGTCTGGGTCCTCAGATTATACGTGGTGATCCTTTGCCTCATGGTAGGCCACCGTCCTGATGAGAACCTAAGAACAAGTGACATTTGAAAGGCATGAGTAAATGTTACCTGTTATCAAGGTAGTCTTGGACCTCAGGGTCTTTTTTCTTTTTTAACTCCCACCAAGCAGGGGAAACCTGCTCCTCGAAGTGGCTCCCCTCACCTGCAAAATAAAGCCCAAGCTTCTCAGCAAGATATTCGTGCTTGCTCGTACAGTTTAGTCTGTAGCTACTGCCTCCAGCCTCACCTTCCACTCCTGTCCTCCAACTTGACCCCTAACAGAATCCAACGCTTTGCCCTTCCTGCCACCTGCTGTTTCTGCTTCTGTCTGTGCATCTGCTATCTCCCCCTCTACCTTGGACATTCCTCAAGCATTTTCTTCTCTGACTTCATCCTTCATCTTTTAAGAATCAAGTTACTGTCCCCTCTCGAGGGAACATCCTGAGTCCCCGGTGAGGCTGAGCACCCACCCTGGGAGCCCTGATCTGACCTCTGGCTTCGTGCTTATCACAGCAGTCTCGGCGTTGTCTGCGTGTGTCTGTGTCCCCTGGCCCGAACGGCAGGTTCCTCACAACAAGGACAGTGACTGGATTGACTCTCAGTCTCACCAGCGCAGGCCAAGGGATGCCTCTCAGGAAATGTCAGTTGCCCTGAAATGTATTTGAAATTGTGACTGGGTTGTGGGATTACGAATTTCTTCTTTAAATTTTTTCTTTAATGTTGCTTTAACGACAACAACAATTTGTATTTAAGCCACATAAGGAAGCAAGACGTTGCTGCTGGTGAATGTGGGTCTTCTGAAAGCCCACTGGGGCTTCGGTAGGGACCCAGCAAGGCTGAGTCCGCTGAGTACGAGCCGTCAGGGCCTTGAGCACACATCCGGGGTCCTTCGGCCCCATGCCCCTCTCCCAGAAGTAGAATGATTCTCATCGCCCGTATTTAAGGAATGCCTGATTTTGTAATTAGAATTCTTTCCGTGTAATTTTGCAATACAAATAATAAAGTCCAGTAACAATAAACAAGTAATAAAGTCTAAACCACACACCAGGCAGATATCTAAAGCACTCCGCTGATACTGTTCAGCTGAAAAACGGGAGAGGTTATCTCCTACTTCTCCTCCCACTGGTTTTGGAAACCCCTTCAATAATAGGGTGCGTTTCCGCACTGAGTGAGGGTCTCATTACTCATCAGTGTCCGTCTGTGACTTAGAGCTTCACCCCTGTAACCAGGGCCTGGGTTTATACTGCCTTTCCTGCGGACAGCCAAAACACTGTCGCCGCATAAGTTCATTTTCTTCTCCCTCAAAGTGGCCCGAGACAGTTGGCAGATCAGTAGGGGGTCAGTGACAGAATGGGGACTGAGATGGCCCTCCTACGCCGGGGCGGTGTGGCCTCCATCTCTGCAGGCCCCCAAGGCCTTCCTGGCACCCCGGGATGCACGGCCACAAACGTAAGATTTTTTTCGCAAGGAGATCTCCCTGCTGTACTTCCTTTCTTATCCACCGCCCTCGCGCTTCAGCGCTGGGCCCGCTCACCTGGTCCGGGTGTCGGCGCTGGGCCCGCCCACCTGGCCGGGTGCCCGGATGGCGCTGGGCCCGCCCACCTGGCCTGGGTGCCCGGATGGCGCTGGCAGGCGGGGACAGGCCGGCCCGCCCCGCGCGTCCTCAGCGCACACACACCTCGCTCCCCACTCCCACGCTGCCTGTGGCACGCCACAGCTTTTGCAAACTTGCATAATGTATTTCTCTCAACTTGCATTTGTACATCTGTTTATTTTTCATTTTTAAAACATGTTTTCTTGATAAATTTATAAATATTTGAGCAGGTGCCCTTTCCCCGTGTAAATCTGTCTCCGACACACAAGCCCACGCTGCCTGCCAGATTGCATTCGTGAGCAGCACGTGCAGCTCCCGTGTCGGAGCCCCCATGTCGTATGTTTGCTTCTCTCTCCTCCTTTCGCTCCCTCTCCGCACCCCCCCCCTCCATTCTCCCTCCCATCTGGTGGTGATGTCCAGTTTCCTCATCCTTTCACTGTGTGCCCCCAGTGCAGCCTCCACATCTCTCCTCGTTCAGCGAGTTCGGGTGAAACCTTCACCAGCCTCCCCTCTAGCAGCGAAATTCATCTCTCTGATGGGATGGCGAATTTTAGGAACACGAGAGCTTATGTGAGATTTTCTTGGAGGAGGACATCTCGGAACCTCAGGCTAGTCTGCTAGGACTCGGTCTCCACGCCTCTGTCGGCCCTTCCCGTGTCCAGGGAGAGCCGGTGCTCCTGACGCACTGCGCGGTCCCCAGCTGTCCCCGGGAGGACCTGCTCTGTCCCGTCTGTCCGTCGCAAAGGCCAGAAAGCCTGCTGAGGTTTGATCGAATCATGTGAAATTGCCCGTGGTCGATTTTTGTTGTGATTTTCGTTCATTTTTTCAATAGACTTTTCTTTTTGGAGATGTTTTTGGTTCACAGCAAAATTGAATTCCCCTGCCCCCTGCCCCTACGCACTCACCACCTCCCCCATTACCAACACCTCCCACTTGAGTAGTGCATTTGTTACCGTTGAGGAACCTGAATCCACACAGCATAACCACCCAGAGTCCATAATTTGCATCAGGGCTCACTCTTGGTGTGGTATAGTCTGTGGGTTTGGACAATGTATCCATCGCGACTGTACACTGAGTAATTTCACTGCCCTAAAAATGCTCTGTGCTCCACCTGTCCATCCCTCTCCCTCCTCCCATCCCTGGCAACCACGGGTCTTACCCCCACCCCATAATATTGCCTTTTTCCAAAATGTCATAAAGTTGGAATTGGCCAATTTCTGACTTTCAAAAATGGCAGCCTAATGCACGGGTTGGGGGGGTGGATTTTTCAACGACAAAGTTTGGGACTGAGAGTTTTCCAGCTGATGCTCTACAAACCCCAAATTCCAGGAAACCAGAGCCTTGACTCCCTGCAGTTCTCTGGTTTTGTGGGAATGTTGCTGGTCACTCTCCAGAGGAAGCGGCAGGCTCACTGGCGCACCTGGATAGGCTGCTCCGATAGGAAACTCACGTCCAGGCTCCTTGAATACACGTCTTGTAGGTGCCTAGATCCCGGCCTCGTCATTCATGAGTGAGCCTGTCCTACCAAACGCAGAAACGGAAGCTGGAAAACTCCCGGAAACCAGGGCTTCTGTCTTCCCGTTCAGGCTTGATGGGGCCTTCTCTCTTTTCTACCTCTGTTGTCCAGGTGTGTGAGAAAGAGAAGCTGTTGTCAGAGAGGAACCAACTGAAAGCCTGCATGGGGGAGCTGCTGGACAACTTCTCCTGCCTTTCCCAGGAAGTCTGCCGCGACATCCAGAGCCCTGAGCAGATCCAGGCCCTGCACCGGTACTGCCCCGTCCTCAGACCCGTGGGCCTCCCCGCAGCCTCCAGTATTAACCCCGCGCCCTTGGGCGTCGAGCAGAACCTGGCCGCCGCGCAGTGTGCGGTGGGCGAAAGCGCGCCCTGCTGCTTGGAGCCCGGAGCGGCTCCCCCCGGCCCCCCCTGGGCCCCTGGCTGCGCCCCGGAAAACTGTACTTCCGGGAGGAGGCCGGAGGGCGCTGAGCCGGGAACCTTCTCAGAGAGGGCGCCTCCTCTTGAATCCAGGAGCCAGACGGTGACCGTGGACTTCTGCCAGGAGATGACTGATAAGTGTACGACTGACGAGCAGCCCCGGAAAGAGTACACCTAGTGACCCGGCCCGCCTTCCAGTTCTCCCACGTCTCCCCCCCCCCCACCCCTCAGGGGGTTCCTCGGTCAGCCTGCGGTGCTGTTCATCTGTTGTCTGGAAGAACCAAGAAGGAATTTGGTGCACACTACAGCGTTCTAAGCAGCAATACTGTTTCTAAGTATTCCCTCCTCTCTCCACGCGGGAGTGATACACAGTTCCCTTCACAATGGTGCTACCCCTTGCCCAGGCAAGGAAAGACGGCGGTGGTGACGCTGCCTGTCTGTGGGTTAATTTCAGTCTCAACAGGGATAGACTATAACACCTCTAGGACCCAACCACGGATTTTTTTTCTCAGTGGCCCATGTCACAAACCCTATCTCAGGAATTTCTTCTGAATGTTCAATTTTTTCATTGAAGACAGCTTCTATACACATCAAAGTTTTATAGCTAGACTGTACATATTATATATAATATATATATAAAATATATATATATCCATATGCAAAAGTCCTGCATGCCTCAATTTTCTCATCCTGAAACTGGAAACTTCATTTCTCGTTTATCAACAGGTTCCAACATTCCTCTTCTTTTGTCTCCGATGCTAGAACTAGTTTGGTAACTGTTAACATAGTCATTTTTCTTGCTTCACAGTTCAATTTCAGTTTGTACTTATTTATGGAACAGAATTCAATGTTGGAAGCTTTTTTTTTTTTTTGAGGTTTTATTTCAGACCCTTTTTCTGTTGTTGTTTGGTTTGCTTTGGGCACCATCGGCCGGTGTCCTCGGAGTGTCGTGGGTTTGTTGTTGTTTTTTTTCTTGCAGATACTGTACAGTCATGGTCAACTTTGCCACTTGCACTGAGTTTTGGGTCAAACCTATTTTCTTAAATGAAGTTGTTATTACTTCAGTATAACTCAAGTATACTGTATATTCTTTGCTTTTAGTTGAAAAGTAAGACATTTTAGCTAATTAAAAAGCACTCAGGTGATAATTATGTAGGAAAAATAATCTTGCCAAATAATGAATTCATCCTAGGATGTGTAGACAATAATCTGCTTGAATATTTTTATATTTCACCTCCTCCCCACCTCTCCCGGAAGCAAAGTTTAAATGCAGAGAGTTCAGAGTTGATGCTGGATGTTCAGACTCCTAAGTGGGGAGAGAATTTGGACGTCCACTGGAAAGTGCATCCAAACAGCAGGAACCCATGATTTTGTACCAGAACTCAGCAGGCATTGGCTCCTAAAAATCAAGTTAGAACTATTTTCTCACCCAGGGGGCGAGTCCCATTCATTTCAACCCGTCCTCAGGCCTCTGCCTGTTCTTGGAAGGGCAGCGCAGGAGGAACTTTGTGGAAGGATTTGGCTGATCAGCCACCCGACCACCCCGGCCCCCTGCTCCCCTGTCCAGGCCTGCTACGCAAGCTGGGCTCCCAGGACCTCTCACCTGAGTCAGTTTAAATCACAGCACCTGGGGTCCTGCCTGTAAGCGGCGTCCTGGGTTAATGCAGCTTGCCCAGAGTAGGAGAGAGTGGGCACATGTGAGCCTGGGGTCTGTCCCTGATGCAGGCAAAAGAATTTCTTTCTCCCTCCCTTCTCCAAATGCTTTGAGTTGAATTCTGAGGGTTTTCTGCTTGTCTCTTGTCCAAAGGCAGATTTCGTTCTGAGGCTTTGGACACGATATGGCCAAGGAGCCCCCCTGCCCCCTTACCCCGCCACACACACACACACACACACACACACACACACACACACACACACACACACACACACACACACACACACACCACACACACCACACACACCACACACACCCCACACACACACCCTCACCTGATGGTAATTTTCTTCTCTTGCTGCAAAACTGGTTGGCTTGCAACCCACAGAGAGCAGCTTCCCTTGGCTTTGGGGGCATGCTGGCCCCTGGCCACGTTTACAGGAAGATGTGCCCAGACCCTGTCCCCAGCGTAAGAGGAGGCAGAGTCCCTCCCTCCCTCCAGTGGGCCCTCCAGCCTGGCTGCGGGAAGAGTCCCAAAAGGTTTGATGTGGGGATGGGGTGGTGGGCAGTGGGGAGTAGACGGTTGACTTTGTTTCTTTATTTGTGCCATTGTTTGGACAATATTAAAGCTGCATGTAAAAGGGGAAATTAGTATATGATGTAGGCGAAAAGTGAAATCATAGTAACATATGTTTTAGTATTATTAACTTTTTTCTGTACAAATATTAGCGCTAAATGTTTAAATATGTATGAATGCCAGAAATTTGTTGGTTCATGCGGTAGGATTTAAAAAAAAAAAGGCTTTTCTTTTCAAATAGTTCCGCTTTTAAAACCTGCCTCTGGGTTTCTGTTTCTCCTCATGTGCGTGTGTATGTGCGTGTGCTAGTCTGAGACAGATTTTGATGTGGCTCAGCGTTGGAGCTGCCGTTTTTATTATGGTTGTTGGAATGTCTTGGCCTAGTGGAGCGGTTCTGTGCTTCACCGTGGGGTTTGCCTTTGTGGAAACCTGGTGATGGCTGGAATTTAAATTCAATGTGAATCATGTGATGCACCACAGGTATGTGTTGCGGTGGAGGAGTCAGCCAACAGTATTTTGTTTTTTTTTTTAACTCTCTGGTTGCCTTTTTTAAGTGACCTCCTCTTCTTTTGGAAAAAAAAGAATGTTTCCTGCTAGTCTCATAACCAGGTCCAAACCAGCCTGTTGGCGTGATTCACCCTGGTGACAGCTCATGTGCAACTGGTAGTCTTGACCACATTCCACAGTCTCCCCCTGTCTGTCGTTCCGTCCGCTCACCCTGTGCTGCGGCCATGTCCGGGTGGGGGAGGGGGCCCTCCTGATTTCCCTCCACCCTAATTCAGCTCACATTCTCCTGCCCCCAACCCCCCCCTCGCATTTCTCCCTCTTCCTCAACCAACCTCCCACCTGCCCCCCCCCACTATGGGAACTGGTTAAAAACTGCTTGAAAAACTTTCCATTTCTTAGAGATTTTCTAACGACTTAATGATTTTGTTCACTATGTACCATAAACAGTGACTGGTTTTGTGCAATTGTCTGTGTGACCTGTCTTGTCTTCTACTACCCTGAACCACGTGTTCGTCAGAATTGTTTCCAGGTTGATTCAAAGGGAGGACTAGCTGGGGATCAGAATCCAAACTGCCTCAAGTGGAGTTTTAAAAACCAGACTGTCTCCTTAACCGGGGCCCTTTGGTGAGGCTCGTGTCTTTTAGGAAAAACAAAAGCAAGTTAATAACAGGGAATAGTGTTTGCACAGCATGGTGACATGTAGTTGTGCTTGAAGGGCCCTTCCTTATAAAAATAAAGGACCCTCCCGCCATGGACTGCTTAGGAAGATCCCTGCCGAGGCCGAGTCGGGTCTCCAAACAGGTGGGCATGAGCTGTAGGGGCGGGGACCGTGGCGGTGGCCCCCTGGCTAGTTACCATCTGCCTGAATCTAGTCCTCCCCTTGGATCTGCCTATGTCCTACTTGTGTGTCCAGACAACCTCGCTTCATTCAGGTTGGTCAGGCTTTGGGCAGGTGAGTGCTTTGCTGTATGTGTTTGTTTCTCTGCGTTATCTGGGGGTGCCTTGGAATAAAATCAAACTTCATTACGTACTGATTCTGGAACAAAACGGTTGCAAAAACAAAACAAAAGAGCTGGCAAAGTGACTAGGCCATCCTGCTATTTCTGTTCCGGGTGCCCTCACAATGACTCAGGCGTCAGAGGTGATGCTGCAGTATAAAACATTATTTTGTATATTGTACAAGTAATTTATTAACTGTCTTTCTAAAAGTATGCTGCTTTTAAGATGCACTATGACTTTGGATTTAATCCTTGTATTGCTTTCCCAAGGAAGTAAAAAAAAAAAAAAAAGCTAGCGATTAGAATGCCAACTGCCACTTCTCCTTAAAAAGGAGGCCAGGGACCAGCTCTAGGACTTGCACCAGCGAACTGCCAGAAATTAAGTGGCCACAATGTGAAGTTCAAAGCTGTTACCAAGAGATCTAGGGGCGCCTGGCTGGCTCAGCCAGTAAAGCACACGACTCTTGATCTCAGGGTGGTAAGTTCGAGCCCCACGTAGAGATGACTTAAAATCTTCATTACAAAAGAGCCTAAACCTACACTCTCTTTTAATACCTTATGATTGCCTTTAAAGAAGAAGCAAAGGTGTATAAACTCTAAGCCTTTTAAGAAATCCCAGAGTCCTGTCCCTATGGGCTGCTCCACATCCTGTGGAGTAGCATAACCCTCCCAAAGTGGGTCAAGCCTGCAAAGCTACATAGCTACAAAAGATCCCCCTGGCTGGGTCTCCAGATTCTACCCCACTGAAACTAGCAGCTGCTTAATTAGTAAGTGACTTCAACCTGCTCCCCTATCACTTACAGTTTGGGAGGAGTCGCAGACCAGGAAGGGAGCAAGAATCAAGTTTTGTCTTCAAATCACTGTAAATAGACTGAGGGGCAGAGTCTTTTCTTTTTTAAGAATAAAGCTGTTCACCCGATCCTAAGTTAATAAACTTCCCCCAGACCAAGGATCCTGTTGTAGGCGCAGTTACTGGCGAGTCAGTCCACAGTGCGGTGCCGGGTGTGGAGTCAGTATTCGTGCAGGAAGTCCGTGTGCATGGAGGCAGTCTGTGTGTTCTCAGTATCGCCCGAGCCATCTCCTGACCCAGGCATCAAAGACTGATGCTGCAGAACAGACGATATTTGTACACAGATAGTGTGTGCAGATGGTATTTGTACATAGAAAGGACCTATTGTGGCAGATTTTGAGGATAAATTATTCAACTGACGGTGCAAAAACATTTCTTGCAAAGAAAAGTAAGTGTATAGTATTTTCCTACACTCCACCCTGGGAGATAATATTTATATCAAATGAATATCAGTGCATTTTAATTGTAATATGAGAATGAAGCTGCCATTCTGTGAAGAATACCCTTTGGTTGCAGAGGCCCAATTTGTAGCTTTGATTTAATGTTGTGACGTGGTGCATGCATCTCACTGTCAAGCGATGGATAAACACCTCTGACTTTCACTTCATTCCAGTTTATTGACCTCAGCTAAAACAGTGGCCCTCCTTAGAAGCAGAAGGGCACCAAGACCATTCATTCAGTGCCAAACGTTCCTGGGGGGCTGATCGGACATGTATGTGAGGAAAGAGGGAAGGGACTTGGACAAAGAGGGTTTTTCCTACCGATGATGCTAAGTCTCCTACCAAAATACGTCAGCAGGCAGAGGGGTAACCTCCCCTGGGTCCTAACGATGCATTTGGCGTGTGTGAATGCAGGGATGCCCATTCACGCTCGGACCCAAAAGACCTGCCACTTCTAGTGAGTGAACAGGAAGATTCCAAATGCACTTGGGAGCTCCAGGTGCTGGTTAGACACAGTGTGCCATTCGAGGCAAGCACCACCTTTGCCCGTGAGGCCAGAAGGGCCTGGGAGAATTTGTTCCAGAACCAGTCTGATGCAAGTGCACCTCTAATATATGCCTTACAAACTCCAGAGGCCATATTCAAAACAGGGTCTTCTCAGTGTATGCAAGGGGCCGCAGCCCCTCTTCTCTTCCTCCCCAGGTCGAACAATACGGACAGTTTCACACATATCTACCTGTATAACCCTCTGTACCTCTCATAACTGCTCAACGACTGTAACAGGTTACATCAGGTGTTTTTCTACATACTTTTTACACAGATTCTATGCGATTAATGTAACTTAATTCAATGCATCATTTTATTGAACTAGTTCTTAGGCTTGTCTTTTTTTTTCTAAGTGATTGTGGTTTTCGTTGTGGTTTTTATTGTAAAAATGAAATGGCTGTTGATGCTTATTCTCTGTAACTAAGAATTTTTACCATTTTGGGGAAAACAAAGCATTGCTATGAACTAATGAATTGAAACTTCATTTACTCATTGTAAATACACTATTGTGCAAAAAAAAATTTTTCACTCAATTGAATTGCTAGTGTTAACTGAATTTTGTCTAGACACCATTTCTGTTGATGAAATAAAGACATATCATTATGCATTGTAAGCTGGTTTTCCCTGCCTCTGATCCCCTGTGTTAAAGATCACAGGGCTGGAGGCCTTAGGAAATCTCTTCTCCCAGAGAATTATGTGTCTTCCTCTAGTTTGGACCTTTACCTGCTACCTGATTAATCTGATGAAAGACCTAAAAAATGTGATAATGCTAATGTGACTCCTCAACGCTGAAATTTAAAAAATCCCCGATGCCTGTGAGAGCAGATAAAAGGCATTAAACACAATTTCCTGGCTTCGATGTTGTGCGATAGCTCTGCAAAATGTCACCATTGAGGGCAGCCTGCTGAAGGGTATTGTTTCATACAAGAGCATGTGAATCTACAATTATCTCAAAATAATAGGTCTAATTTAAAACAGAAAGCTAGGGGCACCTGGCTGGCTCAGTCAGTGGAGCATGTGACTCTTGATCTCGGGGTTGTGAGTTTGAGACCCATAGTGGGGGTAGAGTTGAATGAATGAATGAATAAAACAAAGCTAAATGAAAGTAACCAGAGAGAAAGGGGTATTAAGCCAACACCAAGATACAGTGATGAGCAGGGCAAAGAGTTTAGAATTGTGGTTAAGGGAGTAAATACATAAAACTAGAAGAGTATATTCGATCATTTGAGTCCTGGATTTTGATGTAAAGGGAAAGCAAGGTATTGAATGGCGGGCAGGCTAGATAACCAAGAGTAATGCTGGACTCGGGTGGTCTGGCTAAGCTGTCAGTGAGGTAGTAAATAATACATTCTCATGATGTCTGAAGAGCTGCTGAGATCTGAGCTTCAGGAAGTGCCTGGCCTCACCCCATTCCCCAGATGAGAAAACTGAAATTAAAAGTTACTGAATTCCACTCCCTGGGCACCCTACTGAGCCAAGGAGGGTTTCCAGGGAGCATATAATGGGGTTAGCAACTGTTAGCAAAACAACACAGTCGTGACATTGTAGGTATGAGAGGTCAAATACAGTCCTTTGCCTGAAGACATAAAGTTATAATCCATTCTGAAAAAAGCAGGTGGGTCTTAGTCCCAAAATTTTCTATTAAGAAAACCTGGCCATTTAGGGGCGCCTGGATGGCACAGTCGGTTAGACATCCGACTCTTGATTTCAGCTGGGTTGTGGGATCAAGCCCAGTTGCCGGGCTCTGCACTCAGCTCCAAGTCGGCTTGGGTTTCTCTCTCCCTCTGCTCCCCTCCCCTCATTGTGCATATGTGCTCACTCTCTCTGTCTCTCAAATAAATAAATAAATCTTTAAAAAAGAAAGAAAAGAAAGAAAAAGGAAGAAGGAAGGAAGGAAAGAAAGAAGAAAGAGGGAAATAAGGGAAAGAAAAGAAAAGAGAGAGAGAGGGAGGGAAGGGAAGGGAAGGAAGGAAAAGAAAAAAAAAAAACCCGGTCATTTAGAACGGATGGTCATTCGCTCCTTCGACCTTGACATTTGCACTTGTGGGAATGACAATCATAGTTTACAATAGAATAAAGCCACTGTTTTCTGCAGAAGAGGGGCATTCAAACACTGCCCTGCCCCAGATGGGCAGCAGCCATCTACTTTCCTTTGAATGTGCACCTTTGGAGGGATTCATATCTACTTCCAGGGTACAAAGAGGACTCCCAGATCGGCTACCCCTACACCAGTCCCTGCCAACAGTTTTGTTGTATCTGTTTGGGAATAATTAGGCTGTTCTTTCAAACAGCTCTAGAATTTTTCACTCTTCTCCAGCCCATCACCCCTGCCCCTCAATTAGGATGTACTAGCAAGATTGTATTTGATGTTTAATATCCGTTTTGTGATAGGACCCGGAGTGGAATGGGTTTCCAATTCTCCCCATAGAGCACCTGTGCTTTCCAGAGAGATGGAAGAAGCCACTCATCCCACATTCCATTATGCAAGTGTCTTTCATTTGATTCAAGAACGTGGTACCTTCTATCCTCACCCCTCCCGCTCCTACAGATCCCAACATACACCTGCCACTGGCCTGCTCAGTCAGCCAGAAAGAGGCATTACTGGTTCTTCATGTCTAGCTTTTACTCTTCCCCCTTGAAAACAAGTGCATCCCTGAGGCAGTGATCCTCATCCTAAAGCAGTAGACAGAATCCGTCAGAGACACACCAGCATTTACTGGGAGCATCACATTTTACACTCATCCTTTAACATTTTACACCCATCCTTTAACCTCTCTTTGCGCTGTATAGTTGACCCTGTAAAGGCTTCTGAGGATAAAGGAAGTTTAAATTAAAGGGAAAAAAAACAAACAAAAAAAGCTGCCATACAGGCTTCTGAAAGAGTCTCTCATAATAAACCTATTGACAGGACATGACAGAACACCAGTGAATAAGGAATAGACTGGAGAGCTGAAAGCAAAAGGTCATATATTGTCTTTGGCATCTATACAGAAACATACGTTCATTCAACCAACCAACACTGTGCTGCATGCTGGGCATCCAAGATTGAAAATGTACAGCCCTTATCCTTACAGCTTCCACAGGCTAGTTGGACAGGAAGATATGCAAATAAATCATTGCCCAGGGGCTGCTGATCGTCATGGATAGGAGAGAGCATGGCTTCATGGCTTCCTGGAAGGAGTTTGCGCCTTGGAGCAGCGGGATCTGGGTCTGAATTCAGCTGCATGGCAGACACTTCAGCTGTGCAACCTTGAGCTGTGGGGCAAGCTACTTAGTCTCTTTGAGCCTTCTCTGATCTATAAAATGGGGATGAACAGTAACTTTACACAGTTGTACAAGGTAGAGAGAACGTGTCTTAAGCACCTGGAATATGCTCTGTCCCTTAGTGATACCCACTTGGACTTGGCCCCAGCATCATTTTCATCCACCTGGTCTTCACTGGCTCTTCTACCAACTTACTGTGGAACAGATCATGCCTCTTCCTATCTCCACACCTCATTTCCACCTCTGCAAAGTACGGAGACAGAGAAGACTCAGGAACCATTTGGGCTAGAAGCCCAGACCAGCCCCATCCAATGCTGGGCTCTCTTCTGCAGCATCCCAGGCAGTCCCCAGTGTGTCAGGGTCCTCCAGAGAGAAGGAACCAACAGGAGATCGATCGGTCAGTGACTCCATCTATCAATGGTCCTAACTGCTGCTGTGCCGCCGCAGAACAGGGTGCCCCCTGCAGCGAGCAGGGCATCAAATCCCACCGGGCTGCTAGGTGGGGGAAGGACAGCCATGTCTCAATCCTTCTCCCCTCAGAGGGGCAGCAGCTCTTACCCCGAGATTTTCTCTCCCAGGGTGCACTTCCTCCCTTCCTCCCCCTGCTTGAGATCAGACCGGCGGTGAGACCAGGTGGCACAGTGACAGACTGATCCCAGCCCCATCAGGGGAGGGTCTCCTGTAGAGGGGGGGCCCAGCTGGGAGCACCCTGTACACACCCATCGCCCGGTGGGTGTCTCTGTGGAGGGAATGGTTCCCGCAGTTCTTCTCAAAGTTTGAGCTAACAAAAGTGCAACTTTTCTCCCGCAGATGCCAGTTACTCCTGGGTTCATTTTTCTGGCCCCACACATGAATTATTTTTTCATAAGAGACGAAAGTTCTAGAAGCATGTTCTGAAAGAAACAGGAAACAAGACAAACAAAATAGACTCAAAGGACTTGTAAGACTCAGCCCTGCCCACCCACCTGGGACTCTGTGTATGTCACAAATACCAGGGATCCAATCAAAACCCGCTGAAGACAATTCTCCCGAGGTTGACCCAGAGAAGAATGACCAAGGAAGAGGTTCTGTTCCCTGAAAGATCTGAATCCCACCTGTCATCTTCTTATCCTTCTCCACTTATTGTTTTTGTCCAAAATCCAGGTCTAAAACTGTAAGCCAACTTCTTCCAAAGCTCCATTTTTGCTCTTTCTACAATTAGCCAGATTTTTGGCTTTGTATAATGTGGAAGGGAGAAGGGATCCAAATGTGGAATATTCCGTTTTGTAATAATCTATCCTTGACCCTAAAAATCTGCTAAACTTAGGCTGCCTTATGCAGAGAGAGCAAGAAGCAGTAATGAGGTATAGAAGGAGCTTGGGTTCAGTCAGACAGGCTTGGAATAAAATTCCAGCTCATTCACTCATCCAATAAATATTAATTTACGTCCCTGCTACGACGTCCCAAGAACTGTGCTTCACCACATCCTAATTGTATGACTTCAGACAAGTCACCTATTTCTTTATCCATAAAATAGAGATAATTACAGGTTTACAGAGAGGAAGCCCATGAAGTGTCTAGACCTCCATCAGGCCCTTAATGAAGTGAGTATCTTTCCTCCTCTTCTTCAGATTCTTTGGTAATTGTTATGTTATGTAAAACTGCTCAACCAAAGGGCCCAATAAATTAGTGCAATCCATCCTCAAAACACCCAACTAATAACACTTCTTAATGTGAAGTCAAAAAAAAGACCTTCTCAAATGAGACAAAGAACCTAGAAGTAATAGAGATTTTAGATTTAATAGTAAAAATTCAAAGATGCTGTAAACAGGGATAAGAGACAAGCAGACTGGGAGAAAAATCTTTCCATATATATATACACACACATACAGACAAGGAGTTAATATAATACCATATAAGAGCTCCTAGAAATCAGAAGAAAGACAAATATCCCAACAGAAAAGACAGACGAAGGTCATTCATGGTGGAAATACAGATGACCAGTAAACATATGAACCTCACTAGCAATCACAGATGTAAATTAAAACAAAGGGAAACACGGGGTGCCTGCGTGGTATTGTCAGGCGTCCAACTCTTGGTTTCGGCTCAGATCATGATCTCGGGGTCATGAGATCGAGGCCCACCTTGGGCTCCGTGCTGAGCGCAATCTGCTTGAGATTCTCTCTCCCTCTGCCCCTCCCACTTGTGCTCTCTCGCTCTCTCTCTCTAAAATAAAAAAATGGAAGGAAAAAACAAAGGGAAACACTTTTAGTTCATCAGATTGGAAGGAAAGAAGATAATGGCTGGTATGAATAAGAGTGTGGGGAAAGAGGTGCTAACGTGCTGATAAGAGAATAAATTGGTGTAGGGGCGCCTGGGTGGCTCAGTCGGTTAAGCATCTGCCTTCGGCTCAGGTCATGATCCCGGGGTCCTGGGATCAAAGCCCTGAGTCGAGTCAGGCTCCCTGCTCAGTGGGGAGCCTGCTTCTCCCTCTGCCCCTCTCCCCCATTCATGCCCTTTCTCTCTGCCTCTCTCTCAAATAAATAAAATCTTTTAAAAAAGAGAGAGAACAAATTGGTGTAGTCCTTCCTGAACAAAAATTTTCAGCATCTGTCAAAATGTAATATGTGCATGTCCATTAGAACCAATAATTCCACTTGTAGATACCTGTTAAAGATATATGTATGAAACATCCACTGCAACATTGCGTGCAGTAGAAAAAAGTTAGAATGGCTAACTGGCCATCAAGTATCTTATGGCTCATCCATACCATGCAAAAGCATGAATTAATGTAAAACTGAGGCCGTTCCACAGGTACTGACATGGGAAGACCCCTGTGACATATGAAATGAGCAAAAGCAAATTGCAAAGACATCTCTGCATCTCTACATCTCTACATGATCACATTTGTATTTTTAAAAACCACCATATATGTGTGGACATACATTTGTCCTCAAAGACAGATGACGAATACCCTGAGGAAAGTAGGGGGAACACACCCTAAGCTGTTAGCAGTTGTCTTCGGGGAGTGAAGTGGGAACTGAATCCAGATGAGAACAAAGAGATGAATCCTCACATGGTCAGGTTCACATTTTATTCTCTATGTTCTTTTATATTGCTTGTATTTCTTTCAATGAGCATGTATTACTTCAATTTGAAAAACAAGAAAGACTGTTCTTCCATGCAAACCATTAACAATGGTCCCCTAGTCTGAGCCACATGACTCTCTCCCCTGGACCACTGTGTAAGCCTCCTAGCTGGCCTCCCTGACTGCACTCTTACCCCTTGTCTTAGTCCATTCAGGTAGACTGGGTGGATTATAAAGAATAGAAACTTATTTCCCACAGCTCTAGAGGCTGAGAAGCCCAAGATAAAGGTGCTGACAGATTCCCTGTCTGGTGAAAACCCATTTCCTGGTTCATAGATAGCTGTCTTTTTGCTGTGTCCTCACACAGTAGATAGGATAGGGAACTTTCTGTAGTCCCTTGTATAAGGGCACTAATCCTATCCATGAGGGTTCCACCTTCATGACCTAATCACCTCCCAAAGACCCCACCTCCAAGCACCATCACATTGGGAAATAAGTCTCAACATATGAATTTTGAGGGGATGCAAACATTCAGACCAGAGTAGCCCTATAATAGACTCTCCAGAACGTGGGGGTTTTTTTGAAACATATGTCTCAGCTCACCACCATCCCTGTGCCATCCAGCCCAAATTCCTTTCCATGGCCTATAAAGCCCTAGTATCAGCTCCTGCCTGTTTCAACCACATCCTTCTCTCTCCCCTCCTTGGTCGTGGCCCAAGAGAACTCGGTAGGGCCTTGACACAGCTGGCCCCATCGGTCATGCCAAGGTCTTAGGGTGGGTGGTACATCCCAGGCAGTGGGATGAAGTGTAAGTGTCCTCACCTTTTGAAGCTACATCACTTTAATGTCCCAAAAGATTGGAAGAATTCACAGGGAAATCTTATTCCTAATGTCAAAATCTCCGTTCTCTACGGCCATGGTTCTGAACTCTGGCTGTATATTGGAATCATCTGGGAGCTTTAAAAAGTACTAGTGTCAAGGCTCCATCTGCAGACTTTTCCTGGGGCAGTTTTCAAAGCTTCCCTAGTGATTTCATGTGGAACTAGGCACAAGAATTACTGCTCCACAGCATCTCTGCATTCAGCAATGGGGACAGTTCTCCCTTACAGAGGGTAGTGCGGGTTGCTAAACTCAGCCAGCCCTCCTCCCCAGGCTCACTTGGCCCGAATGAAAGTCTGCTTTCCATGCCCAGCTAAGTCTTCAAAGAACCAACCTTGATAGAAGCTTACTTAGTGATCAGTGAGTTTGGACTTGAACAAATTGTGGGGTTTGGGTGACAGCTAGGGAAATGTCTCAGAGCATAAAATCATGGCTCCTTCCAGTGCCTTCTATGACCTTCCAAAATAGAATGCATTTCTTTTGCAGGACAGTTCCCTCAAAGGGACACATCATAAGCAGCAAAGCAACTGTGGTCCTACCAGAAGTCATTTCACTCTGAAACATCAACTGCTGAAGTCAGAATGCATCTTACTGAGCCCGAAAAATTCTGCCATCCAGGACCCAATACAGTGTAAAAAGCAGTTTACAGTCCATATATTGACAGTGGATGATTATAATCCTGTTTGCTGCACTGATTTCTAGTTACAAATTCCTCTGTAGGCAAGAAGCATCATGTCTCAGCCACAGAGCTCTGGGGTTGATAGCTGTGGCCTCAATCCCCAAGTCTTCCTACCATCTGGGGAGTGAAGTGGTCTGTCAACACTGTAAGGGGTTTGGTGGGAAAGTAACCATAAGTAGGAAATCTCTGTGGCCAAAGACATTAATTGTAATTCCTAGAAACATAAAAAACAGGGAAGAAAGAGGAAGAAGAAAAAAGAAAGGGGGCCTGTCATCTTCATCATCTTTTCTCCAGGCTTGTAGGAATGGCTGGCCTCCCCCAAAAGATAATCTGAAAGATTAAAAAAAATCTGCCTTAACTAAACACTACCATCTCTCCCTCAACTCTCTGCCAATACGAAGACTCCTCTCACATGGAAGGAGGTATAAGAAAGGGAAAATGACTAAAACTGTCTTGCTGAATTCACAAATGGAGATAAGAAGCAGTAACCCCTGGCAAGGTTACTCTAAAATAGTGATTCTCAACCCTGGCTGCACATTGCAATCACCATGGAAGTTTTTTTTTTTTTTTTTTGATGTAGTGTTCCATGATTCATTGTTTGTGCATAACACCCAGTGCTCCATGCAGAATGTGCCCTCCTTAATACCCATCACCAGGCCAACCCATCCCCCCACCACCCTCCCCTCTAGAACCTTCAGTTTGTTTTTCAGAGTCCATCGTCTCTAATGGTTCGTCTCCCCCTCTGACTTACTCCCCTTCATTCTTCCCCTCCTGCTATCTTCTTTTTTTTTCTTAACATATATTGCATTATTTGTTTCAGAAGTACAGATCCATGATTCATCAGTCTTGTACAATTCACAGCGCTCACCATAGCACATACCCTCCCCACTGTCTATCACCCAGCTACCCAATCCCTCCCACCCCCCACCACTCCAGCAACCCTCAGTTTGTTTCCTGAGATTAAGAATTCCTCGTATCAGTGAGGTCATATGATACATGTCTTTCTCTGATTGACTTATTTCACTCAGCATAACACCCTCCAGTTCCATCCACGTCATTGCAGATGGCAAGATCTCATTCCTTTTGATGGCTGCATAATATTCCATTGTGTATATATACCACATCTTCTTTATCCATTCATCTGTTGATGGACATCTTGGCTCTTTCCACAGTTTGGCTATTGTGGACATTGCTGCTATAAACATTGGGTGCACGTACCCCTTCGGATCCCTACATTTGTATCTTTGGGGTAAATACCCAGTAGTGCAATTGCTGGATCGTATGGTAGCTCTATTTTCAACTGTTTGAGGAACCTCCATACTGTTTTCCAGAGGGGTTGCACCAGCTTGCATTCCCACCAACAGTGTAGGAGGGTTCCCCTTTCTCCACATCCCCGCCAACATCTGTCGTTTCCTGACTTGTTAATTTTAGCCATTCTGACGGGTGTGATCACCATGGGAGTTTAAAAAATACTAATCCCAGGGACGCCTGTGTGGTTCAGTCGGTTCAGCAGCTGACTCGGTTTCAGCTCAGGTCAGGATCTCATGATCTCAGGGTTGTGGGATCAAGCCCAACATCAGGCTACCTGTTCTCAGTGGGGAGCCTGCTGGAGATTCTCTCTCTCCCGCTCCCTCTGCTCCTCCCAACCCCGGTCTCCCTCTCTCTCTAAAAAATAAATCTAAAAAATAAAATAAAATAAAATACTAATCCTAGGGCCACCTAGCTGGCTCAATCAGTACAGCATATGACTCCTGATCTTGGAATTTTAAGTCCAAGCCCCACATTATGGGTAGAATTTACTTAAATATCCTGATGTGCATCCCACCCTCAAAGATTTTGGTTTAATTGGAATTGGATCGGTCCCAGGCATGAAGATTTTTTAAAGCCCCCAGATGACTCTAACTCATAGCCAGGGTTGAGAACCCTGCTGTAGGTTCCAAGTAGCCACACTCTGATCCTAAACATAGTCTCCTGGGTAGATGACTGGTCACTGACAAGAAATGAGTATCAGTTTGAAAGAAGTATTATAGGAAAAATCTAAGTAGGATGATTCCTCCTCAAGATATGGCTTTAGTGCAGTAACAAAATATCTCTAAGCTCACAGGAGATATGAAACTGGGGTAGAGATTCAATCATCATAGATTTAATCATTATCATTAACAGGAGAAAGCAAGTATGTGAGCTCAACCAAGTGAGCTCAACTAGGAAGTTCCCCCACCAAACTTGGAGGAGTTTCTTTTTAAAAGAAAAAAGCTGTTAGGAGTGGTAGATAAAGCAAGTGTCATTCTTTTTTCCAGAATTGAGACGAGTCCACAGTAAATATTCCTTATGTCTTAACAATGAGCAGGAAACGTTTATTCCACACTGGCTTTTCAGAAAACAGAATTAAAATCAATACAATATTGACTTTAGTCTTTGTGAAATATATCACCAAATCTTTGTATATGACTTTTAAATGCCAGAGCTATTAAAATAATGGAGCACACCCTCCTTCCTTAGTGAGACAAGGGCAACCCAAGGTTACAAACGATCCCTCTTCTGATCCATTTTCCACACTATGACAGAGCTTTCTAAAATGTAACTCTGATCCCATCACTTCTCCGCTGCACACCCTCTATGGGTGCTCCACTGCCTTCCCACAAGACCCCCATGGCCCCTTCCCCAGCGTTCCCTCCCCATAGCCTTCCCACCTGCCAGTGCCCCAGCCACACATAGCTCTCCAGGCAGCCCTGCCGTGTCACAGCTCTCAGCCTTTGTCTGTGCTGCTCCCTGTACTGGGATGGCCTTCTTTCATGTACCCCAGTCCTCCTAGGTCTGGAGAAACTCACCACATCTTTCAAGGCTCAGTTCAAAAGTAACTGCTACTATGAAGCTTTTCCTGACCCATCCATAAAGAACTGACCACTCCCTCCTTTGCCCATCCACCCCTTCTAACATGGCACCTTACACTCGATCACATTTGTATCTTACTGTCTAACTTTCCCATCTAGACTTTGAGCCCTTTGATGGCAGAGACAGTATTTTATCCACTTATAAACCCAGCACTTACGAAGACTGAATGATATAAAGTAAGTTTTCAGTAAGTTTATTTCATGAATTGAATTTAACTGAATGTATTGAATGACAGGATTTAACTCCCCATAAATTAACCTCCCTCACCTTCTCTCTCTCTCTCTTAACACACACATATACACACCAGGCAGCTGGAAAGCGAAGGCTAAGAAGTAGCTAGAGTGGAAAACCTCTTGCAATAGTCCTATGTTCAGTCAGGCTGTCCGTCTTTACTTACCATTGATGTTCTGTACCCAGTGGCTGAAGGCAGAAGCGAGGGGCTATTTTCCTGGTGCAGAAGGTCCAAGCAAGAGCTGTTTCGAGAACTGGAGCTTCCTGAGTCACTGTACAAGTGTCCCTTTTCAGACAGTAATCTGGGCAGAAAGCTGGCCTTGTGACTGCCTGGATAAGATCTGTCTGTCCAGACCCCACTCTTTCTCACACTGCCATTGCTGTCTCTACATTTACTGTTTAAATCTGTGAGAGCCTCTCCTGAGGGTCGTCGATCCTGGGACTGCCCCCAGGTTCCTATTGCATAGGATGGGCAGTGTCTGGGAGCTATCTCTGTACCTAGGCAGGAGTGAGACTTTGCGTTGTGTAGGCCAGAGGAAAGGTCCGGTTGCTGTCCGGGGTGCTGACTTTGAGTACCGGCTTCCCAGAGACATGGGCTGTGGGCATGGAGCTGTCCACTGTGCTGATCCTTCTCAGCCCACTCTTCTTTAATACAGCAAGAGTCTACTCCAAGTTGCATGAGCTGTGAGCTTTGCCACATGGTCTTAGACTTTGGCACATTGACTCGAATGACTTGCTGTTGATTGTTTGCTTGAAGTAGAGGGATTCTTTTAGGCAAGGGAGAGCAAATCATACACTCCTGGGCCACTGAATATTTTTTCAAATGGAATGGGATGCTGCTTTCATCCTCAGTGCCCTCATTGCTGGATTTCTCATAAAATGCCCTCATGATTTTCCTGATTCCCAGATGAAATATTTCCAGTACATTGAGGAACAAAGAGATGGCTGCAATGCTGTGCATAAAGAGCATGAAAATTGTCTTCTCTGTAGGCCTGGATACAAAGCAATCCACTACATTAGGACAAGGAGGTTGAGTGCATTTGTAAAGTGGGTGCATTTGAAACCCATATAGAATATATTGGCCTATCATGAACCCTACTTCCATCACAGATCTTGTCAAGATGTGTAAGACATAAGTACGCAGCAGACATCCTTTTAGAGGGACTTTATGAATTCTCTTCTGCTCCTCTAACCTCTTCAGCTCTCTATCTATCCTTTGTTGCTCCTCCAATTCAAGCTTGGGATTCCCCATCTGGACTCGGAGGTGTGACTTTTTCTTCTGCCTCTCCTTTTCGAAGGCCCTGAGTCTATAAAGTACATGGCCCATATACACCAAAGAAGGAGAAGACACAAAGATGATCTGTAAAACCCAGAACCTGATCAAAGAGATAGGGAAAGCATCATCATAACAGATGTTGTTGCAACCTGGCTGCTGGGTGTTGCAGGCAAATGCTGACTGTTCATCATCCCAGACATCTTCAGCAGCCACACCAAGTACCAGCATTCGGAAAATGAAGAGTATGGTCAGCCAGATTTTCCCCACTATAGTTGAGTGGGAGTGAACTTCCTCTAGGATGCCACCCAATAAATTCCAATCCCCCATGGTAAGAGACTAATGTCTGAAACATACAGAAAACACTGAACTTAATAGCACTCATGGATATAATGTACAAAGACACAGGCTCATCAATAAAGCAGGTTCTTTTTTTTCATGTCAGCAAAGCCATGAAGGATTTTCCAGCCCTAATATTTATGGCTTATGCTTGATGAAATAGGATACTTCCAAGGAATGTTTTTGGAAAAAAAACAAAAACAAAAACAAAACTAAAGACCCTCCACAATCTGATCCAATTTCCTGCCTATCCTCTCCTCTCCCACACAAGGTTGACTGTCATTCCACTGTATCCAATGGCCATCACATTTGTACAATGTATTCCATTGCAAATTTTGTTCATTTTTTTACCCATATCAGATGTGCCATTAACCAGACATCCTACATGATCTTAACTAAGTCTCAACTTCTCCAGGAAGTTTACCCTAGCCATCCCAAGTCAGAGTGATTTTTCCCATTCCTGAATGCCCACACTATTGTTTCTACCACTCATTTGACATTATGCTTAAGATGAATTTTATGATGGTTGTGTCTTCTGTCCCTCTTCATGGAAAGGTACACTCTTTGCAGAAAGAGACATATTCCAAAGCATTTTGTTATTTGCACACAGAAGGTATCATTAAATAACAGTGGGATGAATTGTCTTTCCATTTTAAAACTCAGTTCCTTGACCTTAACACTGGAATAATCATCACCAAAAAAACAAAGCAGATCCTCATTATGTATTATCCACGGCTCCCACTGCAAGTAAAGAAAACAAATCAGCTACATAAAGCCTCTGGAACAGGCACAGCGTAGCAGTAAAGATTAAGCAGACACAGAAACAGTAACAGACATGTGATTATATCCACAAAGCCACATCTGGAACAGCAGGTTTTCATGAAAGTTTTATTAACTTAGAAGAAAAGTGAATATAAACTCCTTCTCTAGTAAGCTTGGGATCTAGGAAAGAATCGAAGCATAGCTGATATGAATAAGTTATTTGGTTTACCCTGAAAAAAAAATGTTTTTCAAAATTTGATGAGATTAAAATATTTGATAGGCTAAAGGCTTCTAAGATGCAGATTTCCTGATATTAAAGATACAGAGAAAAAACAGTAAAGTGTTATGAAGTTAAAACCAGTAATGAAAGAATTTTCCCCCTCCATAATTCATTCATTCAATAATATTTACTAAAATCTTACTATCACCTAGACATTGTCCTAAATGCCAAGGAATTCAACAATGAACAAGATATACCTCATCCAGCCCTCACAGTACTTAGTCAATAAGGACTCTCAGTAACACATAAAATGGACAAATAGTGAAAAAGAATTGAGTGAATATCAACTCAAAAATACAAGAGAGAGGCACCTGGGTAGCTCAGTCAGTTGAGCGTCCAACTCTTGGTTTCGGCTCAGGTCATGATCTCAGGGTTGTAGGGTTGTGGGATCAAGCCCCATGTTGGGCTCTGTGCTCAGCCAGGAATCTGCTGGAGATTCTCTTTCTCTCCCTAAACCCCTCTCCCTGTGCTCTCTCTCTCAAATGAATAAATGAATCTTTAAAAAAATACAAGAGAAAAAATATGGAATCATTACATTTTCCCTACTTATCTATCCAAACATAAAATAAATCCCAGGTAGAATGAAGTATTAAATGTAAAAAAGGCAACCACAAAAGTATTACAATAAAATATAACGTTTCGTAATTTTGAAGTAGAGGAAGTCTTTTTTAAGCACACAATGTCAGAAATTATAATTGAAAAGTTTTAGATTTTACCCAACAAAGCTGAATGGCAAAAGTGGAGATGTCCAGAAGGCATTTGGCTCTAGAGAATAAAAACAACGAAAGGTACAAACTAGAGATAAACATTTAAACATTTGTGAATAATCACTGAATAGGTAGAGATCACTTAGGGACAAGACAAAGTGAGCCAATAGAACCCTGAGAAATAGCATAGGAAAATAAGTCTACAAATAAAAATGAGAAATGGCCAAAGTGGGGGGGAGGGGGGAACCATGAGAACAGTGTCACTGAAACCAAAGGACAGAGTTTCAAGGAGAGACACAATGCCAAATACACATACTCCTCTATTTATATAAATTAATTGTGGGATATACCATGTTTAGGGATTGGAAAACAGTATTTGTAAAGATGTCAATTCTCCCCAAATTAATTGATCCATAGATTCAATGTGAGATTTTACATCAGAGTAAAATAAAATGCTATAAATGTACATATATATGTATGCATATATATGTGAGGTATATATACGTGACTATATGAGCATGGAGAAAAAAATACAGGCCACACAACAGGAAGTTAATATAGGTTACTGAAGGTCTATAGGAGGTTATGAGGGTAGAGGGGCAAAAGAGAGGCAAAAAAGAAAAAGGAAAAAGAATAAAGATTTCTTAATCTTCTAAGCAAGCATGACAGATTTTCATCCAATGTAAATATTTATGTAAATTTTTACTTGTATATGCATACATGTCTACATAATTTTTAAATAAAATTTAAATATTAAATACCTCAGAATTTAGGAGGGGTATTAATGAGACTTTTATATTTTACTCTATTTACTTGAGAATTGCTTGAAATTCAAAAATTAGGAATGTAGTCACATGTACTATTTGCATATAAAAAATAGATTTTAAAATTTTGGACTTATCCCTCATTAACTGAAGCAGTAATTTACTAAGTTCTATCCTCTCAAAGAGTTTAGTTCCTTCCTCATTATTCCCTTAAAAATTTCTGGACATTATTCTTTATTTAAAAATAATTCCTTTAGCACTTACAAAAAATCTAGACCTTCTATTTTATATATAAAAATCCTGAAATGAGAAAGCTAACTCATATCACTATTCTCTACTTGGAAGTCCTAAACTATTTAATGCTTCTTATTGCCACTATCCCTTTAAAACTTGCTAATTATTACCCTTAAATAGCAAGTAAAGGAAAACTGGGCCAACATGAAAAACAGAAATACAATCATGCATATTGGCATGCAAGAGCAAATTCCTCAAATATTCCTATATTTCCTAAAAGCAACTACTTTTTACCAATAATGACTACAGATCCTAGAAATATTCTTGAATTTTATTATTAAATACTAATTTAGCATCTCCCATGTAAAAACTTGCTCCTTTCCTGAATTTTATTTCAGATCTTATCTATCCCCAGAGGGATTTCCTCTATTTCTCATAAACAAGAAAGTCCATGTTTACCACTTACCTTACAGATGGTCAAAAAAATGGTAACAACTGGGCTCAAAAAACCTTAAAGTTGGACCATGAGTGGCTAATTAGTGAACAACTGCTGCTGGTTGCAGATATAAAGGCTCTGTTCAGCTCTGATTCTGGGGCAGAAACCAGAATGAGCACAGTAATTTTGATCAATAGAGTCTAACCTACTTCTCCCTGGAGGTCAAAATGTCCTTTGGGGCTTTGCAATTCTCTTGTAATATTTTCTTCTAATTAACACCATGGCTGAGCCTCCCCTGGTGTATCATATTTAGAAATGAAAAGTGAAACAAATAAGAATTTTCCTTTTTTATTTGTGCAGGATTACAGTGACTTGAATTTTGGGTCCATTTTTTCCAACTGATTGCTCCGGGAATCCATGTCACAGATCAATGGGTCATGTCCAATTTCATTCAACAGCTGCCTGGGGTCAATCTTGCCTCATCAAATGTGAACAAGTAACAGTGGAGTGACAAACCCGAAGTGTTCTTGCAAATCATGTTAGGCTGAAAGTAGAAACATCTCAAAAAGAGATCAATAGACCATAGACAAGGCTGCACTTGTCTGTAGATTTAATTGTTCTAGCAATACTCTGTTAGGTTGAAACAGGCAGCTTAGGAATTTTTTTCAGTAGGTAATCTGAAAGCCTTAGAAAGCTGTCAGATTTTTGTGGAGAAAGTATTTGAATTCCAGAAAGGTCAAATGACTTGCCCAATGCAGAGACTAGGTCTCCTAACTCCCAGTCTTGTAACATCTATATTAGTCACATGTCAAGCAGTCTCACTGCCATCTTAGAGGGGGTAACAGCAAGGGTATCATTGGAACCCAATGATGACTTAAAATCAGGGCTCCTAAGCACATTTTTTTTTTAAAGTAGGCTCCACACCCAGCATGAAGCCCAACATGGGGCTTGAATTCATGACCCTGAGATCAAGACCTGAGCTTAGATCAAGAGTCTGACGCTTGGGGCGCCTGGGTGGCTCAGTTGATTGAGTGTCCAACTCTTGATTTCAGCTCAGGTCATGATCTCAGGGTTGTGGGCTTGAGCCTTGAGTCGGTATCCATGCTCAGCAAGAAATCTGATGGAGATTCACTTCCTCTCCCTTTCCATGCTCTCTCTCTCTCTCAAATCTTTAAAAATTTTTTTGAAAGTACATAAAATTACTGTAATAATAAAAATTACTGTAATAATAACATTACTGTAAGTAATAATAAAAAAGTACATACAAAGTTCCTAAGTATCATCTAACTATTCTATTTTCACATAGTTTTAAAGAAAGAATAGTAAAAGCCAAACAGGTGAGGTTAAATTTCCACTATCTGGCACACTAGCCTCAAGTACAAATTATCAGAATTCACTAGAAGCAAAAGCACATGATGTATTAATGTGTACATTTGTATGGTATTGGGTACACTGTCCCAGAAAGCCCTTGACATTTAATTCTAAAATTCACCTGGAGTAATGAATGTAATACCTTTAAAGCATCTTGTCAGAGTCAAACATTAAAATCATACATGATGCATAGAATAATTCAGAAGGGTACACAAGAAACTCCTAATATTAGTTGCCTCAAGGGAAGGTAATCGAGTGACTGGGGAAGAGGTGGGATGAATCTTGTAGATTGAATCCTCTCAACAGCAAATGTATTACTTAACTCAAGAAAATAATGCTTAAACTAGGCGGTGAAGTAAAAATAAACACAACCATATGTCAATTTGTTAAAAAAAAAAAAATCTCCTGCAGATGAATCGATCTGATCACTTCATTCTTGAAGACTTTTAGCAAGCAGGTATCTTTAAAGCAGAGGCACAAAGTGGGTAACTCTCCCATAATCTCATAGTAATAATTCAAAATGTCCCGATGAGGTAATACTGCACTGCTGCTGGAGAAGAGGAACTCTACCTACTGCCTCATCCCCAACCAGCCTGAAGCCTAGCAGGAATCAGCACACGAAAGGATGAGAACCACTCCCATAGAGAACAAGTTGGGGTTTGTTTTTCCAGAGTTCCTACTTTCTTTCTCACCAAGTTATGTTGAATCTATGAAGTCCCTGGCAGGCCCAAGACACACTCCGAGAAACAGAAGGGAACAGAAAGTTTAGAGAGAACAAATGTCTCAAGATGGAGGAAAATACACGGAGTCAGAGCTCCACTAGTTACTGCCTCTGTGCTAGTCAATGGTACCAATACTCACCGTGTCACCTCATTCACAGCTGGCGACATAAATCCCCTAGGGGCAGGAGTGGTTGTTTGTTTTCTGCAAGCAGCTGTAAAACATTAGGACTGGGAAAGCTGGGGCACCTGGGTGGCTCAGTCCATTGAGCGTCTGTCTTCGGCTCAGGTCATGATCTCAGGGTCCTGGGATTGAGCCCCGCATCAGGCTCCATGTTCAGTGGGGAGTGTGCTTTTCCCTCTG